GGAACGCTCTTAGGATGCTGTACAAATACTTCAAGTTTTGGTAGTTTATAGCCTACGCTGCACCTTGTAGGAGGAAGTCTACTGTGTGATGCAGAGCCAAGACTGCAGAGTTCAGCACACACCACTGCTTAAAGCAGCCACACTTCACCAAGGAATTATTCCACATCAGATGCAGTTCACGTTTTGCAACCTGTCAAAATCATTTATACTGCAAAGCAAGCTGCTCTTTTCAGTAAACACTGTAGATGCGAGCACATGCTACACAAGTATCAAGAATTAAAAGTCATGAATACACTCCACAGGTTCATTTCTGCAGAGGCTTCACGGAGCCGACAAAAGACCAAGACAAGTCTATGCAGAGATCCATTTACTCACCATCAGAAATTATTTACACTGTTTCTCTTCAAAAGCCATACTTAAGGGTTTGACTAACCAGGCACATCCCTTAGAGCAGTTCTGACCTGGAATGTAGGACACAGGATCCACAGCCCACAAACACGCAGCATCTGACCCCGGCAATCAGCCTGGCTGACACAGATTGAGCTGCTGCTCTGAGTTATTTCACTGACACGTACCTGACAGGCAGTGTGAGAGCAGAGGGCACAAAAGGCACTCTGAACACAAGTTTTTGTTCTACATAAGAAGGGATGTTTCTGCACAAAACCCAGTGCAGGTTACGGATGTGTGTTGCTGTGAAGGCAGTTCTAACGGCAAGAAACTAATATGATTTATGATTGTAACACAACCACCATAAAAACTCCCTCAACACCAAAAAACCAAAATTATCTATATACTTCGAGATCCTCTCTCTCATACCTCAATCTTAATTTTTCTAAACTGACAATGTGCAGCTGGTCAAGAACACCAGAACTTAGGTGATGTAATTACATCCTATTTTTGCAGTAATGCAATCCTTGTATCAACATATCCAGTGGTGCTTTACAGCTACTACAAAAGTCTGTATTATGCTTTCATCAAGAAAAAGTGTTAAAACCCAAGAAAAACAGATAACATGATCACCTTCTGAGCAAAGAAAACACCAGAAACAAACACAAAGGGGAAGAATTTTTAAAGTACCAAAATTATAATATATCTAGAGGGGTTTTACTTTTCACCAGAGAAACATCTTTACTTCTAACATCAATTTAGTGTGCCTCTGTAGCTCCAAAATAGAAGGCAGAAAAGGCAGGGCAGTAGCCCAAGGTCATGTACCATATCAGCTGAACAGAAGCAGAAAACCCAGATCTATCCCACAGTCCATTAGACTACAGTCTCCTCTTAATTAGATAGAAAAATTAACCATACTGAAAAAAGCAACTGAATTCAGCTACTAATCAAGTTTTCCAAGAGGACTTAGCAGTGCATGTTCTATGACCTCTGTCAGTCTGGTCTCATACTTACTCAGACTCAGTAATCAAAGCTTGAGTTTGGGAAATCAGATTTTTCACTTACTTGTTTGTAATAAAAACAATTAATTTACTTTGGCATGGAAAGCTAACAAACTTCTGCACTGTAATTTGTCTCATCAGATGACAGAAACACTCCTGACTTTTCAGGAACAAAAAGACATCCCCTTCTCACCCTCTGTGAGGAAGAGGGGAAAAAAAAAAAAAAAGCTTTTCAATGACTGTTTATTCAATTTTCAATAGCCAGCCTGATTTCCTCTCCAGGAAACAGAGGAGTGAGTGAAGCACATCTGTCTCCATGGTCAGGTCTGATGTCACTGAGGCACTGCTCAGCTGGTACTGGTGAATTACAGAAAGCCAGAGCCCTCTGGAAGGTGTCGGTGTGGGGAGAGCAGATCCCAGCACAGCACAAACTGCAGCACCAGGGCAACCCTTCCCCCACCACACAACAGCTCCAGAGCACATTCTCCTCTGCCCATCCTAATTAGCTTGCCCTTAGCTAAAGAGTCACCACAATTTCCACTCCCCCCAAGAGCTGCAGCATTTATTTTTTTTCAAGTAGTTAATTACAACTCCAGGGCAAAGTCTACTGTAAACTTTTACTCCCTACCTAAATAATTTAATATTCTGCAAGCTTTTGTTTCTGTTGTCCAGCCTTCACCTTCCTTCTGAGTCTTCACTCTGTTTTCCAGTTTTTTAGCAAGCACATACCATTTAGACATAATGTGATTGCCTAATCATACTTTTTTTTACAAAAAAAAAAAGTTAAAAATGTTCTTGTTCTTTTAGTCCTGCATGCAAAGCAAGATGTCCATTTAATGACTTGACTATCCAAAGGTCAGTTACCAAATTTGGTCAACAATGGTGCCATCACAGCCGTCAACATTCTTGTCACTGTCAAAAGCAACAACTGTCACCTTGCTATTATCAGAAAGGGAAGGCAACTGGAATATTCGCCATGTAGATTCTATTTACAGTCTGCCTTGCATCCAAAAATGTCTTCCAATGATTATACATTGAGCTTGATAAAGATTAACCCAAAGGCAAGAAGAATGTCCAGTTAAACGCTTACTTACTCAAGGTTAGTTTTAAAAGCCAACAGCAGCATTGGGAAATCCCACCTCAGAGAAGCACACGGGGTTGAACGAGAAGCACTTTTTAAAATACCTGTCTGGTGTAGTTATGTACTTATGACTCATGCAATGAAAGACTCCCCAGAATTTTTGTTGGCCAGCACACAGAAACCTCATCACAAGGAACTAGTTTAAGAGACAGCAATCTTGCATCTATCCAGCAAAAAAGAATAATTTCAGTATGTACAGGTCATATACACTGGAATATGTCTCTCTGCTATACAGAGTCCTAGGAAATAAAAAAAAAATAAATAAATCATACTTACAAAAGATATGCAAGCGGCCAGCAACAAAATTCTAACAAGTAAGTCTTCAAATTGTTCAATCACAAGCTCGAGTAAGGTTTTTCCTGCAATATGTAACAAAGCCATTGAGTCACACACATTTACAGAAATGAATTATCAACAAGAATTAGCAGAAGGTTTCATAACCATACTCACCTTCCTCTGCCGGCAGCTCTGTCAGTGGAAGATTTTTCCAAGAAGCATGTGAAAGAAAAGAAACCATCGAAGAAACACATTAGAGAATTATCAGGCATCCACACCAGATATTCTTCCTAAATTGCACGCTCAGCTGGGTTGGATTTGACAGACACACTGAAATCCCCACTAAGGCTGCTCTTTTCACCACAGGGTGTGAATGGGCCTGAGAGTTTTGCATTTTAAGACACATAAAGGTTCGCAGGAAGGTGCCAAGGGTTATAATTCAGCCAAGTCATCACTCCAGCCAGCTGTGGGACTTCTGCTGCTCCTGCACACAAAGGGTCAAAGGCTCAAAACGCTCTTCAAACGCTTTCTGACAAAGCTTTTCCTCCACATTCACTTCAAAAAAAAACTCAAAACACAAACCATCAAACTTGGTTAAAAATATTTCAGATTCTTTCCTCCATTTTAAGGGTATGTCCTTATTTCTGCTCTCCCCTTTATGTTCCTGCAACTAGATTTAGTAACCCAAGAGGCATAAAAGCAGTGTTAAAGCTAAAAAACCACCTCCACCGTTTGATCTTCTCATAGATTTTCATTTTTACACAACGCAAAGGGAGTTCAGAAGGGACTAGGACAGCCAAGAAGCGAGGATTTTAAAAAATCGTCTGAATTTTGTGTCCCGACTGGCGAGACTATAAAATAAGGGGCTGAAAGGCGCTAAAAAGCTGGGGAAAATGAAGGTCAAGACGGGAGCGGGAGAAAAAGAAAAAATAAAAAAAGTCAAATCCTAAAAGCCAAAGCGCTTCATTTCAGAATGGAAGAAGGTTTCCCACCGTTACGGTGAAAGGGAACGGAGGTGACACCCTCCTCCCCAGAGCAGCCCCTGCGAGCTCGGGATTGAAAGAAACCCACGAGGTGGAGTTCAAGTCAGCCATCTTCTCTCCCTCGCTCCTATTCCGGGTCCTGGAAGAGATGCCGGCTTCGCCAGTGCACACGCGTTAGGCCTCGCACAGGGCCCCGGCAGGGATGAGGGAGAGCAGAGAGGGCTGGGGAAGGGAGCAGAGGGGGAACAGGGCGAACGCCGGCGGCAGCATCGCCGCGGCGGGGCCGCCTCACCTACCGTTGGAGCCCCATTTCTCCTTCAGCTTCTTCACTTGCTCGAGGCTGAGCCCGGTGCTCTCGTTGACGCCGAAATAAGCCAAAACTTCCTCCACAGTCTTTGTGTGCGCGTTCTCCATGGCTGGGGCAGGGAGCAGCAAATGGTGCCGTGCCTCGCCTCTTCCTCCTCCCTCTCCTCCTCCTCAGCGGCGGCGGGGGCGGCGGCGAGACCCCTCCTCAGCCCTCACCACCCCCGTGCTATCACCATAGACCGTCTCCCGCAGCACAGGAGCCCGAGCACACCTCTCTCTTCGCGGAGGAGGCCGGAAGGGGCAGAAAACAAATTAAAAAAAAAAAAAAATAGGGAAAGCTGCCCTTAAAAAAAAAAAATTAAAAAATAAAGCCCCCACCCCCCTCCCACCCCTCACGCCTCCGAGGGAGCCGAGCCGCCTCTCCGGCAGGGACGTCGGGCGGGGAGAGCGCGGGCCGCCGGAGCCGCGGTCGCCTCGGCGGGTCCCTGCGGGGATGGGCCGCGTCCAGGTGGCCGAGCGGCCTCTCCGCTTGCCTCAGCGGCTCGGAGCCGCCCCCGGTAACGGAGGGCGATAACGGCGCGGGGGAGAAAAAACCGCAGCTGCACCGCTGCCCGCGAAGGGTCAGGATCGCCCCCTTCCTTCCTTCTCTAGCAGCCCGCTCCCCCCCGGCCGGCCCAGGCCGCTGTCGCCGTCACGGCTCGGGCTCCCTCGCGCCCGCCGCTGCCTCCGCTCGCTCCGGTCGCACAGCGGCGGCGGCGGCTCTAATGTAACTCGGGGGGCCGCCCGGCGCTCTCTCGCCGCCGCGGCATGTGGACGCCGCTCATTGGCGGGCCGGGGCGCGGGGCGGGCGGGCTGGCGGCCCCGCCCGCGGGGCGGAGGCGATGGCTGCGGCGCGGCCCCTGCGCAGCGCGGTCCCGCTGCCGCCCGTGCTCCAGCCTGGGGCCCGGCGGCGGCTGCGCCTCACGCCGCGGTGGAGCCGCTCCCGCTGAGCACGGGGACAGCCCCCCAGTTGCGGTGGCGTCTTTCCCGCCGCTGCTGCCCCGGTGGGAACCGCTCCTGTCCCGGCCCCAGCCCGCCGTGAGGGGGACGGGGCGGCCTGAGGGGAGCTGCCCGCCATTGGGGTCTTGGCGCGGAGCTGCAGCGGCGCGTGTCGCGACAGGAGCGCCAGCCGGCCTGTGAGCACTGCCCTCACCCTGTCGTGATAGCAGCCTCATCCAGTCCAGGGGTGAGTGTGGGGTTGGCCCCCGCCTCAGGAGCATCATCCAGGCAAAGGGTGACTGAGGCTGGCGCGCTCTGGCGCGACAGGAGCGTCATCCGGTCAGAGTGTGAGGGTGAGACTCCCTCAGGAAGGCCGTGAATTCTCCCTCTCTGGAGACATTCCAAACCCACCTGGCCGCGTTCCTGTGTCACCTTGCCTTGGCAGAGGGTTGGACTGAGTGACCTCAGGGTCCCTTCCAGCCCTAAAGACTGTGATTCTGTGGGGTTGCACCGGCCTCTGTCGCGACAGGAGCCTCATGCATCGCGAGTGTGCAGAGGTGAGGGCCGCGTGCCTGGGTGCTGTGGCGGGGGTCACTGCCCAGCGGTCGTGCCCTGCTGGCACTGAGCAGTGTCCCCAGCTGCCGGTGACAGCACACTCAGCTCCGGCGATAACGTGAGGAGGATTAACCTGCACGCTGTGGTTTCAGCGCGGCTGTGGGGTGAGATACCAGCTTTCCCCAGCACCGTGGCTCGGCCCAGGCACAGGAACTGAGAGGGAGCACAAAAATTGACTGATCTATCCAATCTCACAGTGAACACAACCCAAAAAGAAATCAGCGCCAAGTGACATTAATACACCTGCAACATACACGCACAACGCAGTGAGCAGATCAGCATAAACACCTTCAAAACTTGGTTCCAAGCAATGTTCCTGTGTACATATGCCTGTGCAAATACCAGAGCTGATCCCTACATGTGTGCTGGCTTACATAAATGCAGATCCTACCTACAATCTGCATTTCCACCACTTACAAACCACCCACAGCACCACTCTATAAGAAACTGATCTGGAATGACATAGCTTACCTCTGTGCTCGAAAAGGGATGGAGAGGGGACTGCCCATGTAAAATTATGGTGTTCTAGGGTATATGTGACCCTATATCCTTTCTAACGAAAGTGCAACTGCTCGAAAATGCTCCTCTGTGAATGGCCAAGGTCCAAGGAAGGATAACTTGACAGCCTACACTTCACAGGGCAGTTCTGAATGAAAATTTCTGAGCTAGATCTGATGACCTAGTTCAGGTAAGGCAATCACTTATTCCATGCCATGCCCACATTAATTTCATCTTGCTTATCAGCAGGATTAATCAGCATGGCCAAATGTTGCATCAGTACAGTTATGTTGCTTTTCATACCTTACACTACACCTAAACAGACTAAGCCTGTTACAGAGGTTAGGAATGTCAACATGACAGGTGCATATAATTTATACAATTTACTGTAATTTTAAAACCAGTTTTAATAATTTTCTTGATATGGCATGAACATGTGATGCCACCATCCCCAAAACATGTACATATGCATATGCAACATTAAAAATACATTATTTCCACAGTAATTCCATATGGAATAATGCCAGCTACTTGAATTAAGGTATTTCAGTAACAGCTCAATATATCTCTATGAGTAGTTTGTTCTCTTCTACCATAATAATAAAACCTGGATTATATATAAGTTTTTTTTTTTGTAAAAATACATTTACCAAGCATGATTTTTTTCACACAAGCATATTTACTAGCATTCATATACAAGTTCACATGTAATGGACTTGAAAGCCCTGCTTTTCATTTTCTTGCTATTTTAAAATATTACAATTAAGCATCTGTAACAATTCCAAAACAAAATGGTACTAGAAAGAAAGCCAGGTCACATTTCATATTATTTGTATTTCTGTGTTGTATTTCCTATGTCATTCTTGGTTTCCTTTTTGTGCCTGTTTCCTAAAGGCCTTATGGAAAATTATTTTAAGCATACCAGAGGCATGGCACATGCTATTAGATCTTGGCAGAGGACAGAATAAAGTAGTTACTGTGTTCTTTCTATCCAACTTGTTAACAGGAGGAAATGGTGCTAGGAGGGCAGAGCCTGAATTCTAGCAAATCCTGGAGAACTCCTGGCATTCTCTGGAGTTCACTAGTTCAGCTACAGTTTGTCAGCTCCCATTCGTTGTTTCTCTCTTGTCCATTCAATAGAGAGAACTTGATTCTTCCCCCTTTTTTCCACCCTAGATAAAATCTGGAAAGAACCTGGAAGCACAGTCCTTTGCCTGTGTTTATTTCTGTCACGTGTTCTATTATGGCTCAGTGAATTTTGAGAGAATTACTGAATTAAGGGCTGTTCTACAGTTCTTTCTCTTCCAGGGCAGAATAACCTCTGCATTTCCTTTACAGTCCTTTCCCTGTCCTTCCCTAGAAGTGCAGGACCACTGCTGCCGCTGAGGAGTCCTTTGCAGGTGATCCCTTTCAAATCCTCTGACAGCTACACATTTGAGAAACATTTGCAGATACAATTCATGGTCTAGACAGCACAGTGCAGAAGCAGCTACAAATACCCATGTAGACACTGCATCAGAAGCAGTACCTGCTAAATTTGGCATCACTTGAGATCATACAAATTTAGAATTGTGAGTTGAAATCAGTGTTGTTTCCCACCGCTCTGCAAGGATTCATAAAGCTTTCCAGGACATTTGTCTTGTCTCTTAAAGAAGATGGTTATCTAAAGGACATGGTTATCTAAAGGACATGGTTAGCTAAAGGACATGGTTAGCTAAAGATGGCTATTTTGACCTAAATCAATATGACAGCACCTCAGCTCTGCTTGAAGCAAACAAGCTCATGAAAGCTTCCAGGTGGTGCCAAGAGCTTTACATTCTCCATTTTTAAGAAAGGAAATCAATTAATTTTGCTGCTGCAAAGTTGCAGTTTGTCATTAGAGTGGAACTCCTTAGAGTGGTACCTGGGAAAGAACCACAACAAAATGGGGCAGTTTTGGCCTTGCTGAGATTCCATGCACGTAATGGAAGTGTAGATTCTTACATTTGGCCTACTACCTTTTTTCACTGTAATATATTAAGAAGAAGCAGCCAACACATCAGGCAGCAGCATTAAAACAGTTCCTGTAATGCTTACTAATTGAAGTAAATGGGAATTTGGCCTGAGAGAGGACTGCAGGATGCTTTCCTTCAAATTGCAATAACATTAAGTCATCCCTACTGCTGCAGAGCAGATTCACAGCAGAGTTATTGGTCATAATGTGAATTGTCTCTTGCTGTACACAAACACATATGTTTTGTAGCTCAATTTTCAAACAAGATTAATAGTTTTGAGTGGAGCTAAACTCAGCATGGAAGAGCACAACATAAAATGCCAGTTGTTGAGCCAAAACTCGTGGATGCTGACCTGCAATAGGATCTCTTTCAGTGAATGTTGCAAAGTGAGAATATTGTGCTTAATTGTGCCAAATTATGTCATAATTTTTGCAGACTGGCTAATTGCCTAATGGGGCTTATGTTGAGACCACCAAACTCACTGCTCTCATCACCCTGGCTGATTTCAAATACTAGTCTTCATGAGTGACAAATGGGGGCATTGTTTCTTCCTCCCACAGTACTATTTTATTCCTCTGAAATTACAGTTATTAAAATGTGTCAGCCAGTTGAAATCTACTAAGGCATATTAAAATGCTGCAAAAGTGCTGTATCAAAGTGGAAAGGTTTTAAGTCTGCAGTTCTGTCATAGGATAATGCAGTTTAAATATAGTAACTATTTTTTTCCAGTCAGCTTGCTCTTTGAATTCATGGTATTATGTCAAGGGTTTTTTTTTCCCTCTCTCCCCCTTAAGAAGCTTATAGCTTAAACAGCAAAATGCAAAAAATACTGAGATGAAACAGTTACACAAACCCAGCAGAGGAATAAGTGATAAAATATGAGTTTGAATGTTGATAATTAAGATAATCTGAGTTTATTCTGAATAATTTTTATTCCTTGTTCCTGTATCAGCAGCAGGTAGAATTTGACTTCCACAGAGACTGAGAGACTGTGAACACAAAGGACAGGGTTGCTGCTGGGCGATTTCTGGAACTGGATCTCTGTTCCTGCACAAAGAGCTCCTTGCTGCCTTGGAAGTGTAAAGAGGCAGTGAGACAGAGTCTGATCTCAGTGACAGTAACCATGAGAGATCACAGTTTGGCTTGGTAGGTTTCTTATTTTATTTCTATATCTTATTCATGATCATTTGGTTCCTCTCCGAAGACTCCATGGGAGTATTTGCCACAAAAATCTCAATTTCCCTGCTTGGAAAAATCTGTGTATCCCATACTGGTGTCAGTAGGAGATTTTAGTGTATGGGAGGGAAAAACATTTTATCAGAACCAGCGTCCATCATACATATCTGAAAAAATAATTTCTCCTTATTTTGATGGTGAGTCAGTTCCCTGGAAAAGAAATGAGCTGGACTGTTATTTTAAAAAATGCACAGCAACTTTAGAAATAAAGCACTGGTTGGTACCCACATGATTTGAATTCTTATCTCATCCTGACCTGATTTTTCCATCTAATTATGGTCTAATTCTGATTAATTTGGCAGCTTGCTGCCATTTTTTTTTTCTTGTGTAAATATTCCTTGTAGGCTCCTGGATCTCAGTTTTGCTCTCTGTAGATGGGGCTGGGAACTTCTAGGGGGCTGCATGGCCAAGCACAATGTTTAGAAAATGGTAGTTTGTTGTTTGTAGGGTGTTAGAGAACTGCCCTGTGTTTTCTCTCTGTAACAAGGTGAGGAGTATCATAGCTGTAATTATGTTGTGTAGTAGTTACCTGCAGGATTCATACTGAGAGTGCACTCAGCAGAAAATTGAATTACTTTACTGGTGGTCATGGGCCACCAATTCCTGAGCAAAGGAGTTACACAGGCTTTGTACAGTAAGACTCTGGTTTAAGTGAACCATCTGAATTACTTGGTTTTAAAACTTGATTTTTTTAATCTCTTGACCCTTTCAGAGGCATTAATCAAGGTGTTTGTACAACAATAAATATTTCCCTTTTTCCTGAGTTCTTGCATAGTGCCATGAACAGTCCCACCATGGCACAGGCTTCTGCCATTCCATGTATTTGCTGAATCACAAGGAAAAGTCACGCTCTCTCTGACTTTTCAAGATTGAAGGGAAGACATGTAGGTGCACTCCATGTAGGTGAGTAGCAATAATGTAAGAGTGAACAGCTTTTCTTACTCATGGAGATGACTCCATTTTCAGGCATTGTTTGGGACTAATGGCACATGACTACCACTTTTCTCAGACTTCTGACACTTTGTGATATGACACAAGATGAAGTTTCCGTGTTTCTGGTGGAGGATTTACTCCAAACTCATAGGTAGTTATTAGTAATACAGTGAAGTATCACACTTCAGTTTTCAGACACTGATAAAATTCTTGTATGCCGTTAAACCATCTCCTCTATTGGTTACGAGGTGAATTAAATAGAATTTCCAAAATTCTGTTTAATATAAAATTATTTGAGGTGTTTAGTTTTTCTCTCTGTCTTCTTTTTGTCTTATGAAATAAGACAAAATGAGGGATTGAAACCAAATACTCTTTTTGGTTTACCAGTTAAAGTCTTCCAGTCTGAACCCTCAGAAATCTGTGTAACCCACAATCCACATGGGTTTTGTTTTTTAAAAGGCAATATTTTTGTGGTAAGATTAGTGGGTACAATTACAATGTGTCTGTCACCTTTCCCTACCTTTCTAAGGTTTTCACAAATGCTTCCTAACATGGGCTATTCAGGAGGAAAAAAACCTGCTGGACTGCCTTCATCCTCCATTAATGTGACTCTAACCAAACCTGAACATGTTTTTCTTTAGTGGAATAAATTTTATATTGATCTCCTATGCTTCCATTTCCTCACCTCATTTCTACCACTTAATACAATCTATCTAGGTATTTTACAGAAATGACAGGTTTTCGAAGGGGTTTAAGCTCCCAAATTACCTGTGGTAGGTTTTGATCACTCACAGAACAGAAATTACAGTTTATCTGCCAGAACTCAATGCTTCCAAGATAAGCCATCTGTTTTTTTATGCATAGATTTATTATATGTCAATGATGTTGCATGTGAACTCAAATTATCCTGACCTACAATTCTTGTTCTATTTCAAGGTTTTGGGTTTCTAAAAGATTGTTTAACTCCTGGGTGGTTTTTTCCCCCCAGTTCTGTTAGAAAAAGAAAACCTCCCCTGAGTCATATTTTAAAAATACTGTTAAGCTCTTAAAGCTGCTTCTGCTCCCATGTCACAAAGCATTATTGAAAATATATTCATTTTTACCACCTACAATTGCTCAGAAGGAGAACTTAAAGAAGTCTTTCCTAGTCTCATATTGAAACTCTGCTGGCAGCATTCTTGTTCCTAGAAGTGAGCTACAGTGATTTTCCTGCTCTGTGCAGGTTGGGCTTTTTGTCAGAACAGTGCTAGTGAGCTTATTATTTGATATTAATAACATTAACAAACATTATTATTATTATTAGCAATAATAATAGTAGTGCTGATACTGTGTTTACTGTGACTTGATTAATTATTTGCATTTGCAGCTTCTAATCAAGGGTCTCGAGCATTTTATAAACCTTAAAGAAATGAAAGTTATGTTATAAAATATCCTTGAGAGAACAGGATTGTCATCCCCATTTCACAGAAACAGGAGCTGAGGTTCAAAGTCACAGTCACACAGTCTATGGCAGAACTAGAAATAGAAATGGTCTCCTGGCTCCCAGTCCTCTTTCTTCTCCTGTCACCCTAAATAGTTTCTAGTGTGGTTTTATAAGACATTTATCACATGATTTTAAAAAATTGTGTCCTATTTGTTAAGGAAAAGTAAAAAATAATTTAAAAAAATATAAAAAGCGATGAAAAAGAGACTATCTAATTTTTGCATGAGGTTGCTGAAACGATTTTAGCCATTTTATGGGAGATGCCATCCAAGCTTCATGAGTTAATCCTGACCATAAGTACACCTAAAATAGATATCTTTGCCTCCAGCTAATCAACAGGCTTACTGCCTAAATAATTTATGTATAACCAACTAGTGGAAACTAGATCTTCTGTGATTTCCCTAGACACATATTCTGCATGTATCATGTATATCCTTGCCTATTTCTGATATTCATTTGAAATTCAGTTGGGACATTTCAGAACACTTTTGTGCTCCAGCTGTATAGCTCTAAGAAAAAGCCAGCTGGAGACATAATACAGGATCTTTGAACTGGGCAAAATTATGCTTAGAATCCAAGTGCATAGTAAATGAAGATTCTGACTTTTTTCTTAACCAACAATGGATTAAAATTTTAAGAAATACAGTTCTAATTCTAACATGTGTTCATGTGGGTAAGGACTTTGTGTCTCTGCCCTACTAATGGCATTTAGTAACAAAATTCAGTTACTATATAGTGATAAATAAATACATATACATTTATAGATAAATATATCAGAGAATGATTAAATAAAATTAAAAATTAAATAATCAAATTTTATTGCTGAAAATGTGAAGAAAATGCAGCACCACACTGTGCTTTTTGGACACATTTGTAAAAAGTTGCCTTCAATGGAGTAGTGAAAAGAAGCATTATCAGACATTGTCCTGCCATATCTGACTGCAAATTCTAGAATCTATAGCTGAAATGGAAGGTGCAGTACAAACTGTCTATGCAGGGCTCATAGCTTTTATCCAGAATTCCTAACTGGAAAATAAACTCCATCTCTTGTGGATGGCAACTGCTAAAAGAGGAGCAGTTCTTGCTCCCGTCTGCTCTGTGTGCCAGGAACTCTGTGGACTGTTCACTGCTCTTGTTGAGACTTGCTGCAAAACGAGGGCCACGTTGTAGCTTCAGTCAGCCGTGCAGGAGGGGGAGGAGGAGCACCAGGTACTCCAGGAATAATTTAGGTGTGGCAGCCAGAAATTTTGCAGCACTGGAAGAACACAACCAACATTCCAGCTGCTCCACTTCTAGCTGGTGCTGCCTTCACATGGGGAGTTGTGGCAGCACTGAACTGGAACAATACTTGTGGAGCTCTTTGTACCCATGCAAAGGGAGGGAGAAGCAATGTTGTTCCAAATCACATCATTTTCCATGCACCTCTGCCTCCCCAGTCCAAAAATGCACTTTCCTTCTCACAGTGAGCAGTGTCACCATGCTCCTCTGTCCTGGTGTTGCCTGGGACAGAGTTAATTTTCCTGCCAGTATCTGTTAGAGTGGTGTGCGTGAGGGGCTGTGTGGTGTTTGGCTGCCTGCTGGGTTAAACCACCTCCTATTCCTGTCTTTGCATATTCCATCTCTGCACACTTGGAATTCCTTCAGGCCTGGGCCTCGGGGCAGTGTGTAGAGTTCATGTACCATCCCCAAATGTGAACTTGATTACCTTGCAGATACAAGAGTCTGCTCATTTCAAATGTCACAGAAAAAAGCTAAGAAGAAAGACAAATGAAAATCTCATTGAGAATGGTGAAGATGTGAATTGTTTCTGGCCTGTGTTCATGCAGCACCTGTTTATGACAGCTGTGGGAAGGGATAAGTGGATTTGATAATTCATATTTGCTGTGCAGAATCCCCTGGTGCTCTGCAAAGCTGGGGCGTCTCCTCTGATTAAAGTGACTTTTAAAGGCAAGCACCACTTGGGGAAAAAAAAAAAAAAAAAAGTCCAATCACTGAGCTGTGGGAATCTGGCAGGTTCAAAGCCTGGGGATGCTCATCTTCCATAAGAAAACTTGGACCATTCAGTATTCTGATGTGTTGAGACAAATTTTGGGTGGTTTTGTGATACCTGTTAAGGCCTCAAAATACTGGAATTTGAGGCATTTCTTAGCCATTTTATGCTGGATGTGCTGCAGCCATGAAGAGCTTCTGTTGTTTTTATATTCCTTTCTGTACAGACATTTTGGCTGATGGGAAAGAGATGTCTTTCCATGTGGCATGGGATGTATGCAGCTCATCTCAACTCCTACTAAATGTGATGTCCTTTTTTTTTTTTTTAATCAAACCCCTCATATCCTATCCATTAACAATATTTGCTTGAAAAACTGTGGTTGCCACTGGAAACCATGACTTGCTAGTTAATCCTTTTGTTTGATCCTGGCTGACACAAGACTGGGTTTTGTTACTCTTTCTGTACATTTTGATTCCTTCTGAATCATCCAAACAAGAGGCCTGAAAGCCATTATACACCAAAGCAGCACCAGTAGTTTATTTTTTTACTGTTTTGGCTCAAAGAAGCATCAATTCAATTATTCTGATTAGGAAAGAGGCTCAGTTAAACTCATTCTCATGTCAATTTGATGAGAGGACATTCTCCTTCTCTTAAGTGCAGTGAAATAAAAAGCAGAAATTGAAGGAGGCTTTGGGTTGGGTGTTTTTTGTTTTTGTTTTTGTTTTGTTTTGAGTTTTTGTTGTTGTTGTTGTTTTTGAAAATACTATAAAAATCTCAGGCTATAAATTTACCATGACAGTGAAAATATGTGTCAGATTTTGGGATGGGTTGGCTTTGTGTCAGTCACTCTCTGTACACTGGACCATGTGTTGGCTCCATGAACCTTTTTTACTTTATGCTGCCATAAGCTTTATATGTCTGTCCTCTCAGAAGCTGAATAAATGTCATGTAGGACATTCTGTCCCATCTGTCACAGGTGCTATTGTGTGTCTGGATCCATATTGGATTAGTATTGATGAGAGATCTCAGGTATTTTATTCAAAATGTGTATTAAGGAGGATGTATAGAAAGTACAGATATGAAAACAGACCACTTCTGGAAATAGCTGTGTTAAAGCAGTCTGTTCAAGCATATTTGAAGATATGTTTGAAGATAATTCCCTTATTTCAGAGATGTTTAGGAGGGGTTTGACATTTTTATTAGTAATTGTTTATTCTTTTATGGGTAAACCAGCTGTTGTGGCTTTCACATGACTAACTATGCACAGATCTGAGAGAAAAATTCCTAATAAATGCTTCCAGAAAATTCTAGAAAAAGCTGTTCCAGACATAGAAATGCATCAAAGTCAGCTCCTCCCAGACTAAAAAGAAAGATGCAAGATAGGCAAGAGAGGAATCTCCCTTTTCTGAAGGCGTAGAGTTTCCACATTTAGCTCTGGAGTTTCATGGCCTTCCACCTGCCACTGAGTAGAGTGGTGACTATTTGTTGTCTTGCAGGGCAGTGTCATTTCAGGAAGAAATTCCAGTTGAAATGGAGAAAGTGACCATTTTTGTGAGGCATAGATTCAGTTACTTACATGACAGCTGCTTGCAGAAGTAAGCCAAGCACTTAAGAGAATGATTTTAAAGAGGCAGAAATTCTCAACAAACCACTCAGCCTTCTTTTAGCTGGATTCACACAGAAACAACAAATAATTAATTGAGGCCAAAATACATGTCGTGCTGAGTTTGCATGAGCTGCAAGGTTTGGAAATAATTAAGAGCAAAACTGTTAATACTCCATTGAAATAGCTGCTGCCTATCTGTCCAGTCTGAAAGCCCAATCTGTTGTGCTCAATCAGCTTTCAGCTGCTACTTGCCAGCAGCCTAATTCCCCAGTCTTGTCTCTGTGCTGTGCTTGTGCATTCCACTACCTGCTAAGTTAAACCCTGCTGTCCTGGTGCTGCATGGAGATTTCCAGTGCTATGCCAACCATCCACACTGGGTCAGAATATATCCCAAACCTGGGGTCTGGGTGTCCACAGCAGCACGCCTGGTTCCAGTGGAGCACCACATGGGGAAAGGGGAGCAGCAGCTGTGTGGTTTAGCTCCCAGGATTAGGGCTGTGCTCATTCATCCCATTCTCTGGGCATTTATGCAGTTTGGACAAGCTGTTGACCTACAATATTTCCACCTCTTTTTTAAAGTGATCTAATGCAGAATAAGCTGCTGTTAACCACAGCCACACTGCAGGTTGATAATATTATCTCCATTTTCCTACACCTCTTTGCACTTGTGTTGCACATTCAATACTTTGGCTGATCATTTATATTGCAAGAGGATTCAAAGGAAATTAGTAATTGTACTTCTTGTTGATTAGCTTGTGCAAGGTTCTGTGGAAATTGAGAGTGAGGCTACAGGGGAGTCTTTGCTTAGTGACTCTGACAGTTCTGCAGCTGTGGGGGGGTGTGGAAATACAGTGCAGTGAGAGGTGTTTGCAGCTGAAGAGGCATTTTAAGCCTCAAACCTGTACCACCAGTTCTTTGCTGAGAAATGTGTATGAAAAATGACAAAGTTCATTGCACAGGCATTTGGAAGGAACTAAAGAGCAATCCATTGACCTTTGCAGATTAAGTAATGCATACTGTCATAAGGAAGTGCTATTTGAGCACCAAACAGCAAATGTACACACTTATCCTTCATTAACCCCTCCCTGGAGGCAGTCAGGATTTCCTTATCCCAGCGTGGTTTGTGTTCTTGGCATCTGGGGTGTTTCCAGTGAGCACATCAGCTCCCTGAGCCTGTCAGAGGGTGCTTGGTGCTCTGCCTGCCTTTTTGTCCTCAAAGTGTCCCCAGGCAGGAAAGAGGGAGGAGGCCATGGGATGGGTTTGCAGTTCTGTGCTCGGCTCCTGGGTCCAACAGAGGCCTCAGTGCCTGACTCTGTGTGCTTCAGTTTTCACTGAATTAAATGGGACTCAAATGTTTGCATAATAGACAGAGAAACTTCCACTTGAAGGCAGCAGCAAAGAGCAGTTTTGCTGCTTTTGCAGAACATTTCTATTACAGAGAGAAGACATGAATGAAAATGAACCATGTGTATAATTAAATATTTGAGTGCAATAAAAGTTAAATATGTTCCTTTTTTTAAATATAATTTGTTAGGTCATTTATTTAATTTATGGGAAAAAATTTATAGAAAACATTTTTTTTCCTGGAGAATGAAATACTCTTTTCAAGTACAGATGAATATGTCATATATGATTTGCAAGGAGATGAATTAGTGTGTCTCTCCTTCTCCAGCCTTTCTTCCACTTTTCCAATTCTACAGGAAGATTATTTTCAGATTCATTGTGTTGCTTTTTCTTTATGTGGCTTGTTGCACACTGAAATAAATTTACCACACTCTTGCTAACATAGTGTTTTTAAAACTACTTTTATTTAAAAATTCTTGGCACAACATTACACATTCTCAAAAATTAAATCAGTGAAAAAGAAGAAAACTTCTGTTCATCAGTCTTAGCATTTGAGCCTGTAATTGTGGGTCAGATGTGGGAAAAAAAAAAAAAATTGGAGATCTCCAGAGCCCCTGGACAAGAGAAGTCACTTTACCAGGACATTGAGATAATTCATCTGGGTGACTCAGAAAAAATGCTAGATAAGATTGAAATTTGGAGAGGCTGAGCACATCCAGTCTCAGCCTTTGGATTATCAAGAATAAATCCAGCAACTGGCATGTGAATATGTTAATGCTGTAGATTCTAGCATGGAAACAGGAAACTGTATTTATGAGGCAAAATATATCAGAGATTAATTCAGTTCTATATATAATATATACATTTTACAGATACAAAATCTTTGCCAAAATATGCATAATTTGCAAGTACACTGAAGTTAGAAAATGCCAGAATAAAGGTTGCCTTTCCATGCATATGCCCTGAAGGCATCTTTAATTACAAGATTCCTGGCTTCTTTTTCCTGTTTTTTTCCTAACACTGAAGTCTTCTAATTTCACTGCATGCTTGATATTGAAGTCCTATTATTTTCTCTTTTAAATAAAGACTAAGGAATGCATTTCCCCAGGTTTAAAAGAAAAACAACATTGGAAAACAACAATATTTCATCCTTCTATCATCATCAGACTGCAAACTCTATGTGTCATCCCAGGAGCCTCCTGAGTGGTTTTCCCCAATGCTGGTGTGGTGCTGGAGCCTGAGCAGTGATCCTGTGTCATGTAACACAAAACTACAGGTGTCAGCAAGAGGACTGCAAGGTAAGGCAACACCTGAGCAGAGTTTTAAATTAGTTACTTATTATTGCTGTCATAATTTTCATTGTAGTCCTTATTGTGCAACCATTTCTAGCCTTGCTTGGAGCAGCCACGTGAATTTTCCGTATGCATGGTCACTTCTACCCACGCAAATGAATTTTAAAAGTTGATTTCTGATTTGCTCACATTTTAAATCTCTTTGCAACTCAGTTTGTGCAGATGTGAGGGACAGCACATAGTGCTACAGCCTGCAAATCCAGGGCCATGTGCTCAGGAGGGTCCCACTTGAAGCTTTTTTTTCCCTCGTGGCTCTTAAGTCAGAGTAGTCACGCTGACAGCACAGAAGTTGATAATGATTTATCACACATCCAGTGCACTGAATAATTATGCCTTGTCTGCCTCTTTCTGCTGTGGATTGAAGAGTTTTGATCAATAGTGACAGCATGCAAAGCCTCATAAAATTTGTTCATTTCCTAGAATCTCTTTCCATGCTTTGGTATTTTTTATGTATAACCAAGGGGGCAATATTTCAAATCTCTCTCTGTGCACTACAGAAAAGCCCCAAAATTAGTGCTTACCTCTGCTGCTCTGAAAAGGCTGTTCATTCCCAAATTTCAAATTGTCATAGAAGAGGAAGGTTGAATACTCAGGAGGCTGACTCCAATGAGAGAGCTTAGAAGGTAGAAAAACATCCTACCTGTGAAGACCCATGGTGTGAGAGGGTTAAATACTTATTTTATATTGCTTTTTTAGTTGATTAATTTAAACCAGGACTATATACCTGGTACTGAAACTGCAAACTGAAAGTTCTCTGTGAGATCTGGAAACAGCAACAGGCTTGCTTCCATAAATAATACTGAAACTTAAACAGTGATTTCACAAGGTCCAGGACGTAGTATAAATAAGAAAGCAGAAATATCCAGGAAATCCTTAGTTAACAAATGTTTTGTTTTAAACATTATATGCTTTTCTTGATCTCTGAAAATCATCTTCACAGTAGACACTAAATTGAGAGAAGTAAAAAAGAAAAATTTTCTGACTTGAGCAAGATATTCTATCACACTGAAAGAAGGGTTTCTTCTGAGGCTTTTTTGTGTGAATCCAAAAGCTCACAAACCTGGTGAAAAGTGAAAAAGCAATTAAATACTCTATTAATGGCACCATGATTGTGTCAAAAATTCTCAGATGCCGTGTGCTGACACCAATTATCACAGCATTCAGAGCTGCAGGATATTGGATTAGTGCAATGCTTGGAATTGAACCATCCCAAAGGGGTTTTTAGGCATGTTGGGCCAAATTCAAACAGGGGGTAACTGCATGGAATTGACTGGATTTATACCCAGAGAAATTTAGTCTTTTTTGTCATGGCCAAAATGTAATGCTCAGGTTAAAACTGGGCTTCTGTACAAAAGTTATGACTCCTGTTTGTAAAGAAATATTTAAAAATGTCATGTAGTTATTTCAGGTAAGCATATGTACTACTTCAGACCAGCAATTTTGCTGTTTTCATTTTTGGCTTCTAGACCAAACTGGGTTGCTGAAAAGTGAAAAGGAGGGAAATGAGAGTTCTGTAAAATTTTTTCCACTTACAGTGTACATCACTTGCTGTTTCTGTGTCCCCATTGTCCTCAGGCCACCCCATTCTACATTCAGGACCTGTTTCAGTCACAAGTGTTCCTGTTCTGTCTAAAGCATCATCTCTCTCTGGTATTTATTACATAGTCCAGTGGACTGAACGACCTGTGAGCAGGACAGATGCCAGAGGAAAATAAGCACAGGCCTAGGCAGCCAAAAACCTGCTGACATTGAGTCATTGAGAAGCTCTGAGGGGTATTGTCCTGCTTTGGTTTATTTATGCTTTTTTCTATCTATGTGGTTTTTGAAAATCAAACTCTACTCTGAAAAATACATATTTTGGCTTTGTACAGGTTTCTAAATTCTGTTCAGCCCACTCAGCAGTATATTAACTTCTGCCACATGATTTGTTTTTTCTCTTACAGTCTCCATGGGAAAAAAGGTGTTGGAACTGTAGTTCTTGTTGTCTGATGTTTAGGTTTATTATTTCTATGTTTGCATGTAAATAAGGGAAAGGGAAAAGTAGCCATGAGCTCCTGGCAAGTTCAGGAAGCCTGGTGCTTGTATAGAGCTGATGTGAACTGTGGCAGTGGGCAACAATTCCGTATCAAAGGGAAGGATTTTCCTTATCCTGTCTCAGAGCAGTGGGGAGGCATTTCAGCAACCATTACAATAATTTCTGTATCTCAGGAGGCTCAGAGTTGCTGTAGCAACCTTTTGCTAGATAGGAATTTGGCTGGTGAAGCCCCACAGGAATCTGCTCCCACTCTTGCCTAACCTCTCACATCACCAGTCTCAGCTGCCAGGGAGAAGCCCCAGCTGTTAATCAGGCAGGGTGAGGGACCCCTTTCCACAGGTTCCTCACAGAACTTTCCCCTAATTCCTGCTTTTTGACATTTTTCCATGTAGAAGAGCTTTGCTGTGTGTGCAGAGTTCTCTGCCTGAACCTGAACTGTGAAAGTGGTCACAGTAAATTTGGTGCACACAAACAAGCCCTTATTCGTGTACTTGCAGATGCAGACAGTGAAGATGCAAAAGCAGCGAGTGCAGATCGGTGTGGGAAGTTTGACTGGGAGGCAGCAGGAGTTGTGGTGACACAAAAGAAGTATTATAAAGTCACCAAGGGGATCAGGCAGATGGAACAGACTTGAGTAGGAAGGAATACAGACAAGGTCTCCAAAGCCTGTTACTTAGATTTGGAAAAAAAAGTGAAGTGTGAAGTTGGTCAGAGCATGAGGGGATGCATCACTCCTAAACCAGTTCCTTCAGAAGTGTGAAGTAGTTTCTGGAGTAATGAAAGACAGGTTTTTGGCCTTCCAGACTGATGTATGGTTAAGAATAATATTTGGAAGGCTTTATTTATAGATAATTATTCCCAGTGGTTACACAGAAAAGACAGTCCATGTTTTGGACTCTTGTCTCTTACTTCTAATTTTACAGGTGATTGACATTGTCAAACCATGGGCTTGGGTGCTGCCTTCTCTTGTAACTCTTGGAGAAGGACATGGCATAACTGCTGTTTCCCTTTTATAAATGGTTTGATGGTTATTACTTTAGAATCAGGACATGTAGGTTCCTTCCCTTGCTTCCTGTTCCTACTCCCAGATCTGCTTCTGTAAGTCATTATTAGTCTGCTCAGATGAAAATACCAATCATGGAGCAGGTACCAAAATTAGGGGTAAGTTGAATTAATGTGCTGAGCTGGACAACTCAGGGGCTGAGGAGCCAACACACACTCCTTTTTGCTAGCTGTGGTGCAGGGCTGCTGCCTCTGAGGAGCAGAAAGCTGAGGAACTTCAGTGCAAGGCTGTCCAGCAAGGAGCACCAAACTCCAGGCTCTTGCTAAACCAAAGATGCACCAACTTAACAAAAAAATCCTGAGTCTGTGAGGTTGAACCAGGTTGAATCCCTAAAGCTAATGCAAGATTTAACTCTTCCAGATACTATTTTAAGTTGTCCAGGCGGTCACTAAACACAACCAACTATGAAAAAGATAGTTAAAAAAAATGTTTGATTTGTGTATGTGATGATTCTCACTGGTTTAAAGCCCAGGTAAAGCACGGCGAATTCCAGGAAAAGAATCTCTGGTTTGTTTGGGTTTTTTTAAACCAAGTACCTTCCAGTGTGAAGCACTTTTTAATTATGCAGAGAAGAAGATCCCTCCTGGCAGGTTTCTTGGGCTGCAGGGAGCTGCAGGGCCTCAGACAGAAAATGGGCCCATGTATGGTTATAGTCAGAACGTGTCGCTGAGTGGCAGCGAGGAAGGCGAGTGGGCTTTGGAGAGCTGACTGATCTCCGTGCTCTAGCAGAGGAATCAAAACTGAATATGGACTGTGCCCTAGTTAGACTGATTCTAACTACCCAAAGCTGTGTGTCACTCCATGCAATTTGGGCTGCAGCCTGGGCTCTGTTTCGGGGGTGTTGTGTGTATGTTTTTTACTGTATATTTTTAAAAGAGCACCCAGTTCTGAGGAATCTATTCCCAGCTAAAGCACACAAGCACAAGAAAGGTCAGAGAGAGGCATCTCTAGCTTTGATAAATAAACAAATCTCTTCTCTGAGGCTGGGATGTTGTATTAATAGCAGTAGATTTGGTTTCGCATTGTGGAGCTCCTCCTGTTTCATTGCTATTGAAGATAAGAGAACACAAAATGTTCTGTCACCCTCCCTATGAGAAAACAAGCCAACAGGCAGAGACTATTATATTTAAAGATATTACTGAGGCAAAGACTCAGAGCACACAAACACCCGGGTTTATATTCAGTAACTACTGGATACCATCACTGGCACACCAGTAACTCAGTCTTAGTTAATGCCTCGCATGAAAGAGTTTGCAAAGACAAAGTCACTGCATGAGAAATAAAATAAGGGTTGAGCCTTAAGCAGATGGAAAGGCATAGCCTTAATTTTTTCCCTTTTTCACTTTTCTGAGTGATTCAGTTGCAGCAAAAAATTTAACAGGTCTTTTTTCTTCTTAACCTTCTTAAGCCACCAGGCTGCTGCAGTCAGGCTTACTTCAGCTGGTAACCTGGAGCTGTTCCTTCATCACAGCACACCAGAACTGAACAAATTTTTCTAAGCAATTCCTCAAAGGAAGACTTCTTGTGAAATTGTAAAACCCCCTAACTTGGCAGCAAGCATGTGTAAAATAAATTAACAGAGCTCTACCCTAGAGCTTCCCTACACAAGTTCTTTGGGAATAATTAATTCTAAAATTTCATATGTAGAATATTTTACTTGGGAATATGTACCTTCTGGGTGGAAGGCAGACTTTAGCCTAGTGGGTAAGAAGCGTGATGGGAAGAAATGAAGAATTTATCCTTAACTAGTTGACATATATGATACAAACCATTGCTTCTCTAACACTGGTCACTGTTACATGAGTTAATCCATGCTCAGGGTGTACTTCTTGTTGCTCCAGTTGGGCATCAGTCCAAGAAGGAGACAGTTTTCTCCTCTACAAATAAGCATCTTCTGTTGGACAGCAGATTGCTGGAGATAAGTAAAAATAAACACGAACCAAATCAGATAATTCTCCTCTCAACAGTAATTTTCCTTGTCCTTGAAATGTCCTCAGCTACAGGTTTATTTGTTTCCCTGATGCTCAGGTAGAGTCTGTTCAGAGGGGAGTTATTCTGCATGCAGGAGGCGTTTTGGAAAACTGCACCTCTACATAGGATTCATAAACAAACCAAATGACTCAACAGATAGAAGTTATATGCAGTGAGATTTTTTCCTCTAGGGGTATTTTTAGAGAAAGAAAATAAAAATATTGGCAGAAGATAGACACTGAAATCACCAAAATTGTTCTCTTTCCAGTCTGACCAGTCTGGAATTTAAATTATGTGCTTGGTGTGGCCCCCTGGTAGCAGTCCACCTTTCTGTGTTGTGGCAAAAACAATCTCAGCTGGGGTTAAGATGCTGCTTACATGTATTTGTAAGTGAATATTGCTTCCCATCTGCTGCACTCATTGCATTTTACATAAAAAAGGGATTAATTATTTCTTCTAGATCAGCGCATATGCAAATTCCTCTAAAAAATTCAAAAGAAATTCTGGGCAGAGACAATGGACTTCTTTGACAGCTACTGATGAGTCTTTAAGATGATTATAAATGTTCAGAGAAAGTAACAATTTCTGTAGTTAGGAATAAAAAAAAGGTAATTGTTCCATATTGTAGCTTCCTTACCATTTGAGAACAACGCCAAATTTACTTCTGCCATCACAGGAATTTCTGGCTGCGGTACATGTGAGAAAAGATTTCCATTTTGAGCATGAAATTTCTTTTAACTGTGATTTCTGATACAACATATGCCATAGAAATGAGGAAAAAAAAATCCCTGCAGTTTGTATGAGGGCCTTCTGATCCTTTGGAAGGATTCTGTGTGCCTCGGTGTGTTAGTGCTTGAAAGGATTTAATCCAGATGGTTTTGGAAAGGAATGAGTTTTATTTGTACCTGATACCAATCAGATTTTCTTTTTCAAACAGATTTAAGTGTCATAAGGGCTGTGCTGTGAATAAGGGATTCTATATAAAATGAAAATCTTTGCATGGAACATTTTTCATTTAATTACATCATAAGCTGCTAAAATGGAAATATTTATTTTTAAGTGATATCATTGTGGAATTTCAAAGCCACATCTAACCACTACATTTATGTAATGACCACTGAAAAAATAGTGCTGGAAACAGAGTGTATAAATTTGAATTATCCCAAGAATATCAAGTTCTTGAAAGGTAAGAGATATTAAAACACCCAATATATGAGAATAATAGGGAAATTAATTATTTTATAACTTCAGTGTTGATCCAGTTTTTTGGCTTTCTAAAAATGAATTTGTATACATGGTGTGTGCAGCTGAACTTTTGGGTAGTGATTTTGGCAGATTGAACCTGATATGAAGGATCTTAAATCTGTTTGAACAGCCTCTGAATTTCCCTTCAAGGTGTAAAAAAATGCAGCAAGCAGCCCCCAGTTGTATAAGCAATAACATAATTGCTGTTCTGCTTGGCAAGGTCATCATCTGATTCCTGATTATATGTTAACGGCAACAAATTAAGATACTTCAAGACAATGAATGTCCAACAACATTATTTTAGTATTCCACGTGCCTGAAAAATTTATCTTTTCTTTCAAGAATGAATCCTGTTCCCTGAAATGCAGCTGGGGAATGAGGGCAGCTCAGGCCACCCCAGGCCTCAGGAGATTGATAGTGTTGGCAGCTGAGGATCTAATTATGGATTATTTGGGTCGGACTCTTTTATCCCAGGTAGGTGTGACTTGATTGACTCAAAAGAGGTTAGTTCATCCAGTGCACAGGGGTTATACTGAGAGCAGGAGTGAATTATTCCCCTAGAAACTGTCATCCTTTTAATCTTAAGGAGAGTCTAACAATTCCTGTAAGTAGACATCTTGATTTTATATGGCATTTTTATGCATATCTTCATGATATTGCACAAACTGCTGGCAATGAGGTATGTTGTTATTACATTTGCATTAGTTATGTGTGTTTTTAATAAAGCTCAGGATGAAAGCATTTACTCAGAAAAATACTGTTAGGAATGTTTCCTTTACAGCTTCTCTCAATTTGGCAAAGGCGAAGCCCGAACCAGATTGGCACAGTCTGCAGTCCTAAACTGACCATAAACAAGACACATGGCACTGTAGGGTTTATTGCATATTTTAAATTTTCATTGCTTAAGAGATTGAAAAATATTGTCTACTTTAATTACATAATAACCCACAACTGGATTTCAGTATTTTGATGTTTTCCACAGTTTCTTACACAAGCATTTTTAAAATTTCCCGGTTCTTGTATTTTACCTCATATTACCTATCAATACACAGGACATGTACAGTGTGTCTGGGAGTTACTGTAGCATTAAATAAGAGTCATGAAGTCAGTGTAAATGATGGGGTGCACTAATTAGGGCAGTCTGATTTCCCTTTGTTTGTTCCAAATTCTTGTGGAGGAGCTCAGGAGGGATCTGTCCAAGACATTACATCAGGAAAGAGGCTCAGTCTGATTTATCCATCGTGTAGGCGACACATTTCCAGAACTATATGTTCCACTTTAACAGATGCATACGTTCTCAGAGGGGAGGACAAAGAGTTGATGCAGGAAAAAGCATTCCCTGAAAAATCAAAAGCCCAGGTGATCATTCTGTATCTTGGTATTTCATTTTCTGAGACTCACACAGAGGAGAGGAGCACGACCCTGCTGCCAGAGTAACCAGAAGTTATGAGTATTAATTTCCTGCCTTGCCTGGTAGGCAATCTTAAGTGATAAAATTCTGTCTTGTTTTCTGCTGTTTAACTTTGTGATCACTCAACATCCATTACGGGAGCAGGTTTTGATGAAGGGAAGATTTCACCTTGGCTTGGGAGCTTTTTAATAAAACAGTTGTTACTCTTCTAATTTGTCTTCATACTGTCCCTGAAGCACACTGAGGACAACAGGGACTGCAGTCAGAAATGCAGCTCTGCAAAAGCTGTTTTCTTTGAGGGAGAGGATAGTTTAGGAAGCTCCAGCCCCATGTTCTTCATGTTCCTTTCTCCCAGCTCCTCACCTGCAGCTCTCCACCCCTTCAGTTGTTCTCTCAGTTGTTTTGTGGCCATAAAATGAACAACTGAGTTAATAATCATCTTTCACCAAGAGATTGTGATAAGCCTGACTATGCAGCCCCACAGAGTTGTGCCAGCACCACTAAAAAAACATTGTCACCATAATTCCAAGGTGGTTTAGACTGAGGTGCCACAGAACACAGAACACAGAAGGGCTGTCCCACCTCTTCCCTTGGGTTTTCCTGGCTATTCCGTGGAATGTGTTGGTATGTGCCAAGGAACAGCTTCAGCTGAAAGCAGAGCTCTCACTACCATTTTACTGGAGGGATTCTTGTTTTGAGGAAGCTTTGGCTGAATTTCCACACAGTCTATGCAGCACCCTGCAACTTAAGAAGCTCCATTCAATTTTTATTTTGGCTTCCTTTTAGATTCCAGGTGCAAATTATTGCTGGGGTTAATCTCCTGGAAACCCACACATCCTCCTTGCAATCAGGGAGCAACCACTGTGTGTGCAGTGAGAGGGCAGGCCTAACCCATGCTCTCTGAATGTGTTCTTTTCCTCCAGCCAATAATCACCCCCAACTTAATTAGCTAATGTTGTGTTTGGGGATTCAATATTTATGCATCAGGGAAGCCACAACATTGCAAACCTCTCTGTTGAATGCCCTTTTATAAAAACTGGACATACCCACATGGATTGTTTCAAATAAAGATAAATTGCATTAGCACTGTGTGTTTGCAGGTGAAATTGGCTCTGATGCAGCTGCTATATCAAAGAAATTTCCTTTATTATTAAACTCCAGTATTCATGTCTCTCCTTGTGGAATATAATACTGAGCCTGTGATGAAGAGTTCATCTGATTCCAAATGAACTTCTCAGTAATGGGCTGTACATGGTATAAGGAGAACATCTTCGTCAAGCATTTTGAATTGGTTTCGATTTTTTGTATTGACTAAAGAACCTGGGTTTGGTATTTTTCCCCCCCACCAAAAGTCTAAATTTTCTCATGAAAATTTTGACTTCGTATTCTAAAGTTGTGGGGGTTTGTTAAACAAGACTTTATTTCCATGAAATTATATGAATATTTAATTATCTTCCTTTATCTCCACACTGAATTTCTCATGGGGGAAAATATTTTTATTCCCCTGTTGTATATGCTTGTATCAAAAAAAGTTTTTGTTTAAGGCCAAATTTATCAGACTAAATAGGAGCTTTCACCATTGACTGGGTTATTCATTAACTAAGATTACCCAGGAGTTGTTCTCATATGTAAAAGCAAGATTTAGTGCTTAGTGATAAATCTGCTGCTCTTCTATTTGAGGGGTAATCCAGCCAATTCCAGCACAGTGAGGAGGCGACAGACAAGCAGAAGCAGCAGTTCTGTCCAGAGCTGCCTGGGGCAACCAGAAACCCAAACTCTCCCATCCCTTACCATGCTCCAAGCCAGACAGTTTTTCTCTGGCAGCTCTTTCATATTCATGCATCTTTACAATTTTTGAAGACAACATTGAACAATATTCTAATAATATAATACAATATTAAAAATAGCTTCATTTCCTCTAAGAAAAAATAGAATTCCCAGTTATTTCAGTGTCAGATTATATAATTAATATTTCAGCTACAGGACAAAGTATTTGCTTGTTAAAAACTGAAATGTACAAAGAACAACCCCACAAATTTCAGGTTGTATTCTGTGAGACCCAACCTTGTGTGCACACATGCACACAGGGCTTCTCCTGATCTTATCTCTCTGGCATTACAAAAAAATCTCAGGGTACAAGAAAAATCTCACATTTCATTTTCTTGACTCCATTAGCTCCATGAAGGAGTTGTGATGCTTTTTATGTTTGAAATTCCTCGTTGCAATATAATTAAAAGCTCCTTCAGGAATTGGCTTTATCTCTGTCTGTATTGTATTTGTTTAGTTTTTGTCTGTTCTGACCTTTCCATTACACTTTTCAATTAATTGTCACATCTCAAATGTCCAGAGATTTCACTCCTGAATTGCTTTTCAGGCAGTGGCAGGGTCAGCTGAGGATACTCCAAGTGAGGACACTGAGTCGTGTGCTGGGAAATTCGGTGACGTTTGAGATGTCATTCCTTTGTGTTCCAGCAATCCAAACCTCGGGCTGGATTGGGGCTTGGGGACCTGAACAACAAAATTCAGGATCAGCCTCAGGAGGTTTCACAAGGACATCAGGTTGGGAATCCTGGGTATGCCCTGAGACCAGAGCTCAGAGACAGGGACTGGATTCCTACTTTTGTTTCTGTTCAGTTCCAGAGTGGGTGTTTTTCATCCAGAAAATAACATTAATGCAGCAACTTGTTGATCTGGCTATATGGCCAACAGAATTTACTATGACTTTTTTGTCAATTATTTTGAGATTCCGTGGTGGGAGTTGCTGCACCAAATAGTTCATTTTAACCTGATTTGTGGATGTGCCAATGTAGTCACATGGATTCAAAGGATCAGGGTCACTTCTCTTAAGCTGTCCACAAATACTTTACATGACAATGCCATAAAATCAGGGAACTGGATATTCTGGAGTTAGAACTTGAGCCATCAGTCAGAGTCAGAGTGTAACAGAGCTATAAAAGCGTGCATTGACACGGAGTGTGATCAAATTAATATAAACAATATACTCCCAAGCAATATGCCACTTATCCCAGAGAGATCCCACTGGCATGTCTAGATTTAGTTTCCATGTTATTGCTTGGATTTGATCATTAGGTAACACTGGACAACATTAAAATTAAAGGGAGCAAATCTTGTACAGGATAAATGACAAGAACATTTATTCTGTCAGTTCTCCTTTTGTTTCCAGCAAGGAAACTGCATTATCATTGCCACAAACTAATCCCATTTTGTCCCTGAGTGCAGATCTGTAGCAGAGCAATACAAATTAATTAAAATATATTGATTGTATAGAAAATTAAGTGAAAACTATTTAACACATCCTAAGTGATTAGATGCAATAAAACCTTGCAGAGACGATTGCACAGCTGGCAAACACAAGTCAGGAGAGAACAATTGGGGGAGAGAGGACCTGGCTCCAGACCTTGGCTTTTCCACTGGGAGCCTGACAAACACCCTTTGTGCTGGAGGGGACAGGTGTCAGCCCCTCCCCACTCCCCGTTTAGATTTTACATCAAGTCACTGTGAGCTCTGCCTTGAAATCCCATTTTTCTAAGCAAAGACAAAGGCAAACCTTTTATTGGCACTGGTTCTAGAGGAGCAAAGGTGTTACATAAAGGGCTGCTGAGATTCTGGATTACACAATATTTTTAAGGGGCATGTGATACATCAGAGACTATTTATATATACATTTGAAAGTGGCTGTTGATTACCCAAACTAATTATTATCCTAAACAGATCAACACCACCAATAAGGTACAGAAAAACAATTCTGCAGTAGCATAAAATTAAACTGTCTTGTTTGTGGGTACACGAAAGGATTAAAGAGTATAATTTTACTCTCTTAGACCAAATGAATTCCTAAATTGGAAAAGCAGCTCTGTCCAAGGTCGCCTCTGTTGTGTCCAAAAATATCTCGAAACAAACGCAAGAGGGGCACTTTGTTGGGTGTTATCTAGACATATATAGTTTCAATCAAATTCTTCAACAAGTGTCAGAATAAAAGTCAAACATTTGTCTGACACTGCCAAGTCACTGGCAAGTGAATCCCCTCAAAGGTTGAAAATAAATTTGATAGCAGAATTAAGAATTATGGGATGTTTTCTTTAAAGAAAAAGCCACATTAATTTGGGATTGAGTTGTAAACACCTTTTAGATATTTAATGAAAGGGTTGTCTAATTATTTCCACAACACTGGGTGAAGTGATACAAGGTTGTGTTCATGACCCCGGGAAAATATTTATAGTGCATTTTCCAGTGTATGAGTTCCCTCTTTCCCTCTCTTTGTGTTTTATGATCACCCTTCAATTAAACCAAGAAGCAGAAAAGAACCTTCATGGTATGAGAGTTTAAAGTGGTGCATTTCCTACAGGAATATTGAAGTGCAGCATAGTAAATAAAAAACACAAAAGGAGCAGTAACAGCACAGCAAGAGCCCACTGTGAGTGAGCCACGCTGCAGCTCGCTGTCAGAGCCTGGTTGGGAGCTGTGGGAGATGTTTTCTGGAGGAGATTTAATGTCAGGGTGATGCTGGCACTGCCAAATTCCTGGCACTGCCCAATTTCCCTCACTGCTTCAGGAACAGGAACTGCATTCCTCGCTGCTCCCTGAGCCCACGTGAAGGGAAAACCAAGGAGAGAAACCCTTTGGGGCAGGAGATGTAACATCAATGTAAAATACTCGTGGAACAGGTTGTCTGTGGGTGACTTTCAGTGCTCTGATAGTTCTGTTTGCTTTTTAATGCGCTATAAAAACACGGCAGGCTCCAAGCACAGAACGAGGGAGATGGGGACAGTGTTTTATAAATACTTTATAAAACCTCCAAGGTTTCAATACTGCAGTCCACAGAAAGCTGCTTTAGGGCACTGCATCATTTAAATAGCAGTTGATAAGCAAAATGTATGATTTTAATGTGATTTTAATTTTAAATGTTTCAATTTTTAGAATCCCAAAGTAATTAATCAGCCCTTCTTGCTCTTGGTAATTCTTCACTAATGGCTCTAAAACTTCTATAATAACTGCAAAGAAATGCCTAAACTCTGGTTTACTCACCAGAAAATGCTGTGGTATTGTAAACCAAATAAACTGCTGAATTATTAATTCTTTATAACCTTAAGAGTTTCAATTGCTGTTTAAAAAAGAATAATCCAGTTTCAAAAAACCAAACATTACCCCCCCCCCACCAAATTTTAACTGCAAAGAATCTTAATGGTTTTTAGGTTTTTATTCAGTACGAACCAGTTGCAAAATGTATAAAGAAACTGGGTGATTGGTTCCTTCATTATTTCCCTTACTTGGTCATTATTTGTATGTGATGTAAATCTTTATGGTTTTGTTGTTTTTGCTCCCAAAAAGCAAAGCATATTTCCTATTCTATTCCAGGAAAAATAAGTAGGGAGAGAGAAATGGATTTATCTTTGATAGCTGGTCAGATCCCATTTTCCATATTCCTGTCAACTGCATTTTTCATGGTATTAGCAAAAAGTGCAGGTTTTATCCTATTTCAAGAGTAGACTTAATTAAGTGCTTATTGTATAAATGAGTGGGTTTAGAACTTGAGCAGTCGCAATAAAATTTAGAAGCTTAAAAATGACATCTTATTGTGTATTAAGAGACTGAACTGAAGCAGGAAAATAGATATTGGCTTGAGTAGATCCATTTGCAGGAAAAAAACTCCAGCTCCTGGCTTTCAACAAATGCTGGATGTGTGCATCCTAATTAGCAAAAATGGAGTTTTTTCATTACTATGCAGAATGGAATGGCAAAAAAAGGGCAAAAATACATTTTTTAATAATAAATAGAAATAATGCATTTAAATACAAGGTAAGAATACAGTTTTAATCAAATGATAAACACTCTAAATATTTCAGCACTGGATTTGTGCAACAGCCTCTCATAAACATCTACTAAAAATCGAACCACTTTGCTCAAGACTTGTTATTTCAATTGTTTGTGCTGAGAAAATCTTCCACAAACATTTAATTTTTGTTATAAAGTAGAGCATGTCCAATGGAACATTGATTTGTGTTGGCTGAAAGGCGTTATTTTAGATAATTACTGTTATTTTTATTTTCAGTGTGCTACAAATCTGATGATGGGCCCTTTAATTCCTGCTTGTTCTGTCAGGATGAAGAACGGAGCTAAATCCAGCAGACCTTGTTTCGGCAAATCTCCCACTGAAGTCAGGGTTTGTGAAAGTCAGGTTTGTCTCCCAGTTCCTGCTGATTATTTGGGACATGTTTGCTCCCTCTCCAAGTCCCCAGAGCTGCTCACCCAGGGTGACACCAACACTGAAATCAGGGAAATCGATGTGAAAAATGCCCTTTTCACCCACTGCCCTGGGAATAACACGGATTGCCTCGGGAATTTGGAGAGCCCGCTTTAAATTCAGAGAGAATTTAAAGAACTCTTTAAACGAGCTGGAAATAGGTCAGATTCTGATTGTTAGAAAACAACTCCCCACGTGGGTGTTGCCAGACAGGTGGGACCTTGTGATAAAGTTGTTGATTCGTGTAACACTTCCTAACTGCAACGCTGGCACGGCCGTGGGGTGTCAGTCCCGTTACAGAGCACCAGGGCCAGGCAGCTGAAGGGTTAACGGCGTTCCCTGGGCAGGAACCTCCTGCCGGCCGGGATAACACCGGGCACTGGGATTTGCCTTTTACATGGGCTCTGGGCAAACAGGGCCAGAGAGAAGCCAGAGCTGCCCCTGTCCCAGTATTTTGCTATTTGGAATATTCAATGTTATTAACCAACCAGGCTATTAAAAATAACAACAAAGTTAAAAACTGAAAAGTTAGCTTTATGTTGCAAGATAGGAAGATAAAACTGTGAAATTCTAAGAATTTTGAATGCTCCTACCAAATCCTAAACTAGGTGGAAAAGCCAGTGAACAGAATCCATTAAAGCTGCATTTATTAAATGTCCACTTGTATAAAAAGCTAAAAATAGTGTTTGAGTTTTTCCAATTTTCCTTTGATAACAGTTATTATGATTTTTTGCTTCATCTCAGAAAGTAATTTTGCTGCTGCTGCTGCAGTGTATAATGTGTGCCCTTTCTTGGTGCAGCACAAATGACAGAGCACTAATCAGATGAGAACAACAATCACGTCATCTTTGAGTAACTAGCAATAAACTGTTTTTATAAGGAAGAAATATGAACTATTTTTAGGGTAACTGAAGAGAAAACCAGAAAATGATTGTAATCAGTCTTACTCCACATCATTGCTGTGAATTTCTAAGGCATTGCTTTTTCCTGGGCAGCAGGCTAATCCCTGTCACACATCTTTGTGTAAAACCCCCAGTCAAATAGGATTTCTAACGTTTGGTTTAAAGTTTTGACTTCCAGTCTATGAAATCCCCTTTCTCCCTGCCCTATCTAGTGACTCTGAACCACAGGCTGATTCCTAAGTAACCTAAATGTCCATTTTTGGTGATTATCCCACGTTTTCAGCATGTCTCACATCTCCTTGCCTGTGTTATTTTACTATTGCTGTCAAGCCTTCAGCGAACGCCTCCGTTGGAAGTCCAGGAATGGGTTTGCCATGGCTTTTGCAGCTCTGCAGCCCTGTGCAGGTGCTGTGTGGGAATGATGGCACAGGGCAGGAGGCACAAAGCACCCAGGTGTCTCTGGAGATGGCTGTGCCCATCCCACACAGCCTGGCCTTTCCTGAGCTTCTCCCTGCCAGAGATTCCTTCCCTGCCTCACTGAATCCTGCAGCAATCAGCTGCTGGAGGCAGGGGGTGGTGGCACAGCTCTACCTGTACCTGTGCCTTCCTTCCACCCTGTGCCAGGGCACCCTGCTCTTCTCCCTGGCCTGGGAGAGTGGGGTCAGTGTGCAGCTGTTGGGAAAAACTATCTCCAGCTATTTGGCAGTGTAGGAGGGCTGGCATGAGGATGTCCTGGGATCTGAGACCCACTCCTCACACTGTGAGCCCTTTGGAAGCTTCTCAAATAAATGTCATTAAATAACCCATTTTTCCTGTGGCCCAGCCACCAACAATTTCTTTCTTTCACCTAAAAAATGTAAAAAAGAAGAATACCATACAGTCAAAATGTAGTTTTGCCAGCTTTTATTTTAGTCCTGTTAACAAATATATTTAATGCAAAAGCAAACCAGGAACTCTATAATTACCATGCTCTCTGGATATAGAATCCAGCGGAAGATCTGACATAGTTAGGTATCAAAGAAAGCAAAATTACTTTTTTTATATCCTGAAAAAGGACATTCTCCTTCAGGCAGGAAAAGCTATAAAAAACCCCACCAACCTATCTAGGAATCCAGTAAGCCAAAGGAGAACAGCAGGAGTTCTGGTCCCACAGAATTATCTCTGTGCTGCTGATCTGTGACGGGGGCCAGGAGCTGCTCATCTGGAATGGTGACGTGTGAGGGACACTCTCAGTCCTCACCTCCATCCCTGTGCCCCAGGCTCAGCTCTGGGGCACCTCTGAGGCTGCTCAGGGCTGCACTCCAAGCCAGATGCAAGGAGCCCTGGGCCATGTCTCAATCCATGGATAACCTCCAGCCCTGGGATGACCCTCTTTGTGTGTGTAATCCCTTTGGAATTGCACTCTGCAGACAAAACAGCTCAAAACTCCTCCCTGGGGAAAGCTTCAGCTGAGCTCCCTTTACATTTTTACACTCAGGAAATACAAAGGGGGTAAATGTTCAAGGAAAAAACTTCTGTTAAAAACAACAACAGCAAAAGATAATGGAAAAAGCTCAGAATCCAAGTGATTGTTCTCCAGGCAATCAGCTGAGCCCAACCGTGCAAGGAAAGAATGGCCAGGAGTGCTGGGGCAGGGCCGACAGTGGCCCCGCTCCTGCTGCCACACTGGGTGGGTAAGGACAATAGGGACAACAGGGCCAAGCCAGGAGGGCACAGTTATACAATATCAAATCTCTCAGGCCTTGCAAAAATGTAACCTTATCGATAGAGAATGAGAGGCAGAGCAATTACGTGAGTTTTCTGTGACCCTGCAGAAGGATTTGTTTCCCTTTGATCTCCCTACAAATGCGTGCCATTCCCGGCCTCATAAAACATGGATTTATGAGCAGGTTCACCCCAGTGCAGCCCTCCCAACAGCTTCCAACCATGGAACATTGTCACTCAGACACTGGAGCAAAAGATTCCAGAGGGGTTTCTTTGCTGTCTCTGTTTATGCACCAAAACCAAACCATGGACAAAAACTGTAGAATTGATGAAAGCAACAGTATTTAACAAGAGTCTTCCTAATTCACGTGGGTATCAGGAAGAAGAATTCATAACACAAGCCTATCTTTACCTCCTTCCTGAATGATCTGACCAATGGCTGCTTGATTTTGTTGTTTCAGAAAACATTCTCTCTTACATTCCATTAATTTCTCGAAGTCCTGCCACATTTTCATTTGCTTCATATTTGGCCCATGACTTTCCCGTACAACTTTCTGCTTCTCTCGTAGTTTCTGTTAAAAATACAAAAATATCAGATTTCTGCAGCAGCTTTACACCACAAAAGCTGCTCACATAAGAAGCTTGGAATGACAGAGATTTTTATATGCTATGGAAATATTGTTTTGTTCATATTGATAATACTCCCTGCAAGTGCTAAAGGCATTAACACCTGGGACTTAGATATTTGTACGGATTGACAACTATTTCCATGGTTTTTAATGTCTAATCTTGTCTATTTGAGAATTTATGCTCAATATCTGATATAATTTCCATGCAGAGCTCTTGCAGTATCAAGGTACAACCTGCAATGGATTCACACCATGATACGCTAACACTAAATCAATGTTTTACAATTAAACCCCTCCTGATTAAGAAAGGTAGGCCAGACCTGTAAAAATCAGTCAGACTGACTAAGAAAAGGAAATTAATAAAAGCTGTTTGGTGTGACTTGCTAAGCCCAGCCTTGTCCCTGCTGATCTGAGCTTCAGACAAGATTAAAACTGGACAACTGCTTTTGTCTGACGCCGCTGATCCCCTGGCCTTTAGCAGCAGTGATAAGGGTGACAGGCTCAGAATTTATTGTCTTCAACAGGTTGCTTTATATACAACAGAAAATCTGAGCTGGCACAGTTCATTATGCCCCTGTTTCAGGGTCTTATCCAAATGGTTTTCAGGGAATGTGCTGTCACATTGAACTGTTTGCCTATCCCTTACAGCAGCTCATGTTATTCCCTGCAGGAAATCAAGCCCTGAGGAGGGAGCAGGATCCTTTTCCAGGGTATTAATTACCAATGCCAGCAGTGATGGAATTTTCTTTGTAGGCTGCACAATGCTTTTTATAAAAGACTGACCACAGCCCCACAAAAATAAGAACTGTACAATGGCTGAGCAAGGTAAAAGCCTCATTCTTACCTTCCCAAGGTTTTCTTGTTCAAGGATTATTCGTGTATACTGTTCTCTAAAGGAAACATAAAATGATTTTATCATTATTTGGTTCTATGTAACAGGACAGAATAATGATGCAAACATGGAAAATGATGGAAGTATTGGGAGGTTCACAAATGAGACAGAAGAGAAAACACAAAGAAAACTTTTTGTCATTGGACAAAATTAATCTTTGATATGAAGGATCAGATCTCCTTGTCTCAGCTGTGCAGCTGGGAAAAGTGATACTGGCTAAGGTCTCTTACATTTTTGAAGATGGCATGATCACTGCTCCTTCCAGCTTGAGGGCAACAGTGAGACCATACAGATGAGATCCTGATCCTTTTTGTAATTAATTTATACTGGTGACATCCCGAGGGGAGCCACAGCCTCACTCGTACAGGTGTCAGAATTTACTGACCCACAGCCCTTAACTGCTGTGAATGCAGTGTTGGAATGAGTGGGAAAGTGCAGGAATGAGGGGGAATGGCTTTTCAGCCCAGGCCTGACAAGGCCACTGAGTGCAGTGGCAATGCTGCACGTTCCTCTCCCAGAAAACAGCCCTCACATTTCGGGGCCTAAGCACAGGCTGAGAAGTGTTAATGCTGACATTCAGCATGGAAAGCCCTGGCTGGCCACCTCTGTTTGTACCAGGTGGCCTCATCACTCTGCCATACCCAAAGATGACACGACCCCTGACAGTAAAATACACAAAACACAACAGCACAGTCCACAGACAGCACAGGGACTTATCTTTAGCTTTTCTGAAATGTGACAATAGAAAAAAAATCAAAACTTCTGCACTGAGCCACTTGGAAAAAAAGATCAATTATCTTTTGTGTGTAATTATTACATTTTTCTGGTGTGAGAGTCATCTAGTGGAATTCAAAATAACCCAGCTCATTTAAAGAGCTTTCCAAAGTGCTCTATTAACTCTATAACCCTAATTGTAACCTCCAAGTACAGAAATCATAATTTCAGGAAAGAAATGTCAGCCTCCACAATGCCAGAGCCTGAAGGTTTCCTGGAGTGTGAGAGCAGCTGTGTGGACCCAAAGCACTGTGTTCCCTTAATCCTTCCCCTTCTCCCAAGTACTCCAGGACTTAGACTGGAGCACTTGGGCCTGGGGCCAGCTGGTCCTGCCTCCACAGGAATGGAGCTGGATCACTTTAGGATCTCTTGCTCTTGGACAATTCCAGCCAGAACAGAGCAGAGCTGTGCTGAGGCTGCTCCAGGTGCTGTGCTGTCACACTGATCCCAGCAATCTTCACCCATCTGGAGGTTAAGCTGAAGCTGCTTCTTTGCCCTGGCACACAGCACATGTTCTCACACATTTGGCCCCCAGAACGCTCCCTTTTTTTTTTTAAAGTAGAGTTTTCAAAGGAATCATCAGAAGGTTTTATGTCTTTTCTAGTAAGTTTTTCTTTACTATTTATAATGATGACTGGAAAGAATGTAACTTAATAACTTTGTTAAAACCCCACAACTTTTTATTTTTAGAAAAGAAAATTAACTTTTCACATTCCTAACAAGTGACTCCATGGAACAGAGAGTTTATATTCAATAAAGAGGGTCTGAATTAAGACATTTTTTGTTCAATACGTTGTCAGGAAAGTGCAATTCTATTTATGGTTCATTTTTACTCTGTTTACATTCCAGCACTTGCTGAAAAATACATTCAGGTTCTAAAGGGATGTCCAGAGAAAAATGTCATCGTCTCATTTTATATTTTGCTAAGATCTCTCTGCTGAACTTTGCTGTAACTCATTGAAACGAGACAGCTCCGTGACCTCTTAGCAAGGTCAGGACTGTGGCTGGTCCCTGTGGGAGGATCATTTCCACAGTGGGGAAGTGAAACGGGGACAGCACAGAGGGGTAACAGCCTGCTCACATTCCCTCCTCATACCTGGGATTGCATGGCTGGGCTCGTGCTCCATCCGAGCTCTGGGCTCTGATGGCTGCTCTGTGTGAATTCCCACATCCTGGATGTCCAATTCCCAAGGTTTTGAGTGGAGTGAACCAACCGGAGCTCCCACTCCCTGCTGTCTGACCCTACTGCCTCAGGTCCTCATCTTCATGAATATTCACATCATCACTAAGGTTTTATCTGTTCAGCCTTCTGCTTAATTGTGCTGTTTCATCTTTCCTTCATTAGATAAATGTTTATTTCCTACAGCCTTTCATTATTTTGTGAGATGAGCAAGAGCCCTCTTAGCCTCCATCATCTTTTCTCTCCTTGTCCTCTGCTCCCTCCCCAACGTTTGTAGTTTTGATTCTTTGCTTACTCTTACTTTCCTTCACTTTTTACTACAGTGTTTGAACACTCCCATGCTTCACATCCTTGCAGAAGGTCTCTGTGATGGATTTTACTCTGCTCCTTCCCTTCCTGGTGATCTCCGCCTCCTGTTCTAGACCATGGAGATGCAGCTCCACTGGTACCAGTGCAAGGGGCTTCAGGAAAGGGTCTGATGGATTCTCCAGAGAGAATCCCTGGAGTTTTCTCACTGTCTGACATATTTCCCTATCAATGGCCATAAAACTGAGCAAACACGAATTTTAAAACTGTGTTGATAAATGTTTTCATGACTAGGAAATGCTGTGGTGGGAAAGCAAAGACCACCTTGTAAAACCACTGACACCAACTGGATTATTTTGTTGACAACAAATTCACTTTTCAGGAAAAGAGAATTTCTATTTCATGCAATATTCTGAAACTTTGAAAAGCTAATTATGAAGAATAAGCCCTGGGTATTTTGACACTTCTATCAACTGGAAATTATAAATGTTTTGCATTTTCCTGATGCTTAATTTTGAAACAGTTTGTTGACTGTTGCCTGAATTTTGTTTCTGCTTTTATGTTGTATTAGAAGATTGAACATACACAAAATTTTCAACAGGATACTTTCACAAAAATATTTAGTTAAGTTACACTTAGTTAAGTGTAGAAAATCTCTACAACATGGTAACACTTAGACTTCTTAGCACAGATAATGAATCCGAAATATCTCATTCTCAGAAAACATTTCCATCTTTGGCAGGAAAAATTTCTATTTAAAATAGAAAACTATACCAAAAATAATCAGCAGCTCAGTTTATAGTATTTCCTGTCTCTCTTGCTGCCAGTCAAAGGCGAGGGGTCCTGAAAAGAGTCATGGGATGAAGGAAGTGGCTTTTTAGTGGAGTCAGTGAAACTGAGGGTAAGGATGGAGGTTCATGGGATGGTGCAGAACCATCCTCACAGTGTGGGGCTGCCAGTTAAAGCCTGTCCTGGGCTGAGAATCTCCAGTGGGAAGGGCAAATCTCCTGGTATGTCTGACAGAACTTGTATGCACAGCAGTATAGGCTGGAATCCGAGATGCTTATTTTTAGATTATTATAGTGTTTCTAAATTTATCAGGTGAACTCCTCCGGCCCAAATGCCAATGAGAAAATTCCTGACTTCAGCCTCAGTTTGTGAATCTCCTTCAAGTCACCCCAAGGGGAGAGAGTCCTGCCAAGGGGAGAGAGCCCTGCCCCGCTCACCGAACCGCCCGGCGCCGCTCCTGCGGGTCTGGGGACACGTAGGCCTTCATTTCCTCCTTGGCACGCTGCAGCTGGACCTCCAGGCTCTGTGAAGAAATGCATCATTTCAATACATATATGGGTGTGTATATTATAATTGCCATTTCATTTCACAGTGAACAGTTTGTGCTCTCACCCTTTTCATGCAGTTAATGTAATGGTAGTTGCTCTCTTCCTGGGCACACTCCTCAAGAAGCCCCTTCACTTCCTGTGGGAAAAGAGTAAGATTCCAAAGCACATGGTGACTGCAAGCTCCCAGGAGATGCCCTGTGTTGCCATACAAACCATGAGAGTTTATAATAATAATAACAACAATAACAATAATACTAATCCTGAACTGATAATTTCTCAAATGTTTATAAAATTTGAGTTTCTCACAAGTCTCTTTTAGAGTGAAAGACAACTGAGTGGTTTTAGATTTGCAGCTTCAGCCACAGTCAGAGATGCAAAATGGCTGTTAACAGGTTTTTATTAATGCCTGACTTGTAACAGACACTTCAGCAATGCTGCCAGGACTCTGCTCCTCAGCACATCTGAAGTGCCAGGCACAGCTGAGAACGAGCATTTCCTGGAACACATCTGCAAAGTGCATGTTAGAAGCTACAGACATGCCAATAGTATGTTCATCACCAATCAATAATTATATGGAGGAGTCTGGGTTAGTGGGTTGCTCCCATCTCTAAATGGTCCATTCCCAAAAAGCCTCATGATCCCAATGGAATTCCTGTACACATTCCAGCTGCACAGCATTTGCAATTCCGGAGCTCTGTTACTGTGTGATTTCCAGACCATCAGCTGAAAAACTGAATTCTACAGTTCTCATGTCCAGCTCAGTCAGGGGATGTGATTGTCACCACGTGGTAGAAAATGACTGAGTTGTCTGCCAAGAAGAAAAGCCTGGATTGCTGTTGTAAAATAGCTCCTTTGGAAGGTTCATTTCATAGCAGGTCCATCTGGTATGAAGGGCCCTACAAAGGAACTTTTAGAGCAGGAAAATAGCTGTCTGTATATCCACCCACACTTTAAACTCCCTGTTTACCTTGCAGTATATTCTTCTGAGGGAAAGGCCTTGAGAAACTAAGCCCAGTCAAAATTCACAGGAGTGATGGAGTGAGACAAAACAGGAATACAAGACAGTCCCATTTTATGAAGTCTCCTCACCACCAGTTTCAGTCATTTATTATCCACTGAATTTGTTGCTAGTGCAGTGAAACTGCCAATGACATATAAAGATTTGTCTTGATCAATTAATCTTTATTTTATGGTCAAACTCTTCCCTAACAGACACTGTCCAGGGCAGCAGCATTTCTGGCAGACTCACGTCCTTGCTGATCAGAGCTGGATGAAGCACCCTGAGTCCGTGTGCTGCTGCTCAGGACCTGTGTGACTGCAGCCACCCCACAGAGCAGCTTCAGGCACCACCTGTGGGTGATACTGACTGGATTTGCACTTTCCTCATCCTGAGGGAGGGCAGGGAAGCACTGCAGCCCAGCATTAATCCAGGAGCAGCAGCCAGCCCCACCTCACCTGCTCCAGTGCCAAGCGATTGGTCTCCAGCCCGGCCGCACAACTGTCATACTGGATTTTCTTCTCATCACATTCTTGAGTTAATTCCTTGGTGAAAAGGGCAAAAGGGCACATCAATGAATTCTTCCTTTGGCTGGCATGTGACACTCAGCCCCTCACACACCAGCCCCAGCTGCTGGAGTGTGACCCTCGCTGGCACATGGCTGTGGTTACACAGGGAAGCCACCAACCCCCACACTCTGGGATCAGAGAGAAGGAAATTCCCTCTGTTCCCTGCCAGGCTAACAAGGCTGTGTTTGCAAGAAGAAAGAACAAATAATTATAAAAATAGACATTAGGAAAGGATCAATATAAGTGCTGCCTATGAAAAGCCAGATTTCCACTTGTGCACACAATCAACCTTTTTGCTGAATTTCATCTGCTGACACTTTAAATGGAACTATTAAAAGTAGGTTTTCTGGAAATTTCATTGATAGATAAATGCATCAGTTTATTGAATTCCATGCTAATGAGCTAACTTATGGCAGCTATACACCCAAAAGACTTTTTTCCCCCCAGCTCTCTATAAAATTTTGAGAACAAATGGACAAATTTATCAGTGTCACAGACAAAAGCAGAAATTAAATCAATGTAGCCAACATTTGGATGAGAAGTTATCTGCAATCCACTCAAAAAGACAGCGTTGGTTGGGATCACCAGTGCTGAAATACAGAAATAGCTTTGCAACTAATCTGAAACTAACTTTGCTTTGAGTTTGAACTATGACTTTTCACATTTTTCCCTGGTGTAGTAATTTTTTAAATTGCTGTAAAGGACTGAATTCTGTGCCTGCACTGTCAGCTTTTACAAATCCCAACCTTTAGCACGTTGCTTGCTGCAAACGCTGTTGACAAATTCTGCTACTTCCAGCTTTCCCTCAGAGTTGATCATGTCCTTGTAGAGCACTTCAGAGATCTGTAAATTGGATTTATTTGTGGGTTTGACTCGGTTTACACAGAAAGAGAGGAGTGTTTCTACAAACCTGGCAGTTCTGACGCAGCTGCCTCAGCTCTTTGATGACAGGAGCAAGGCTTGCCTTCTTCTCTGCCACCATGGCATTCAGTTTCTTCACCTGAGAAAGGGACAAAATAATATTCGTTAACTCTATAACCCTAATTGTACATTTATGTAATTAGGAATGTGAAAAGAAAGGGAAGTAAACCAAAATACAGAGAGAAAACATGTGTGATGAAACCTTAATTATACAACTGAAGTTCAGGCCTAATTAAGAGAGGGGAAAAGCCCATCTGGCAGTGGGGTCATTCCCACAAATGATGCAAATTCTGCTTCCATTGTTCCATCTGAGGACATCCCAGAAAAGTCCAAGGCACTGCCCTCGTGCCAGACACCAAAGAGCTGAAGGAGTAGGGGAGATGAAGGGGATGCACAGAGGGGGCTCAGAGAAAGGAATAAATCCTTAAGAAAACAAATACACTTGCATAGGTTAAATAAAGCTTGAAAATGCTAAAACTGAGTCACTTTGATATATTTAGACTGAAAATTCAAATTGCATCTACCTTTCTGTTTGAGAGTAATTCTATTTTAGTTACACCATTGTATTTTAGAAGTTCCCTAATGAGTGAAAAAGATGCTATTTTGCTTTTTGCTCTCTTACAATATTTTTAAATTAGAAATTCAAGTTCTTTCTTGCTTCTATGGTTATGTGGGCAGGTAAATTAAAACATGACAGTTTTAAGGGCAATTGAAAATCAGGCTATAAAGAAAAAGACAAGAATTTAGCTCTTTAAGCATATTACGTATCTTTTCAACAAACAAAAACATTAAATTGGGTTTTATATCTCAAGGAACTAGATACTCTAACTGAGGAAATGCAGTAATTTAAGACAAAAATCACCATTTCAGACATGTTATCTAATGTCTGGCCTTTCACTTCATCCATTTCACTCTTCACTGCAGAGACTCTTTCCAGCTCCTCCTGGGTGTAGCTGTATCCAGAGATTCCTTTCTTCTCCTCAATTGCTTGCTGAAGATACAAACAGTAAATAGTGGATGTGAGTCCATTAACCAAGAAACAGCAAATTCCTTCGTGGAGCCAAATATTGTGAAGAAGTAAAAAGGGTAAGTACTGTAATTAATTTATTTTATTAATCAATTAATTATAATTAATCTAGCTTCCATAAAAGTAGATTTTATCTCGTGCCTGAACAGCAGGACAATAAAAACCCTCTGTACATACAATATTTGGTCATCCAATGCTCAGTGAAGTGAACAGAGAGTTTCCACAGAGCAAAGTGGGCTGGAAGTCAGGCTCTGAAGAAGTTCAATGTGTAAAACCTGTCTGCTTGATCAGAAGATGCAGCAAATTATTGTGTAAAGTATTTTGGTCACAAGAATACAGGGATTGGAAGAAAATACCACAGAGTGTTCCTGCATTTGGGATGCTTACAGTTATTCAGAGCAGAAATCCTTCTGGCTTAGGGAAGATTCATCCAGTTTTAAATTTTAACACATTTTCTTCTAAATACTGTGGGGTTAGAATGTTTCCTTCTTGCCTGCTCTTTCTTTAAATACTACTCCTATATATTTTACAGCAGTAACTTGGATCCTGTTTGCTGCTGGTCATTCTCTAAGCCCTCACTACATCTATGAATACCAAAAAGTAATGTAAGCATCCAGCCTTGCCTTTAGCAGTAATTAGGAATGTGAAAAGACTGTCAGGGTAACAAGACTGTGTTTTAAGTCTTGCCTTAGTCAGTCTAAAAAGAAGCTGCAAACCAGTCCTGATGAACACAAAGTACAGCAGCCTCAGAGTCAAAGCCAAAAATACCTTTTCTACCCCAAAGTCCCCTTCATCGAGTAAACAGAATAACTGCAGAATAGAATATTTGCATAATTCAATTTTCAACAGAATAACCCCAGCAGCATCCCTGGGATGCTCAGGCTGTTCCCAGGGCAGGGAGGCCGGGGGAGCAGCACAAACTCAGGTTACCAGCTGCTGCTGGGTGGCCTCGTGGCGCTGCCGCAGGAGCTCCTCCGTCCTCTGCAGGACCCCGCACTCCGCCGTGATTTCCGCTATTTCCTGACGCTTCTTCTTGTAAAACGTGTTCTTGCTCCGCAGCTTGCTCACGTACTGCTTGAACTGGGGAGAGAGAGCAGAGCTCACTTCACTTCTAGCAAAGCAGGGCCTTACCACGGCGTAAAATGTAATTATCCTCTTGGTCCTGCACATCCAAAATGCAGTGGTTAGAACAGAGGGTTGGAATTCAGGATTCTCAGGGTCTATTTATTTTCAGCTCTGCATTCGTTCACTGAGGGAGATCAAGGAAAACAGCTCCTCTGCTTTCTGTCCCAGCTCACTCATTTGCAGGCCTGAGATCACTCCCTTCTGCTCGCCACCATTTGACAGCTGGAAAAGTAAATATTCCTTGCAAAACGTTATGGGAGTCATGGATAATAAAAACTTAATGCAACAGTAATTAGCACTTGTAACAGAGCCCCAGTCCTGCAGACCAAAACATGGTAATAGACAGCAGCAAAATTGGAAGGGAAGAGGACATGGGAAAATTTTTTTTTAAAAATGTTCTCAGTAGTTAAAACTTGTTGTTCTCTTTCCTTGACTCCTGCAGACCTGGATGATATTGCTGGCTAAGTTTTCAAAGCCAGGAAAATAAAAGAGTCCTTGCAGAGAAACAGAGAAATGCAGTATCTATTTCATTCAAAATCTAAAGCAATAGAGAATTTATATTTTTATTAAAGACTGAGTAAAATTATAAAAATCCTTACAGTCTAACAGCCTTAGCTAATTTTACACCTGGACCTATGTATGTTCAATTTGTAACACAAGCACCAGGGTTGAAACAACCAGGTAAGATCTTTCTGTGCTTTAATGTTTTCCATTTGTTGTGCAGTCTCAGCTCATATTCTTGGATTTTACATGAGAACTACAAGGTAAATGCCAGTCACAGCTCAAAAAATGCATTCAGATCCAGAGATGGAAAGCAAAATTTATAAGAGTAAATGATGTAAGAACAGGCTTCAGAATGCTCCTGGATGAGGAGGCGTTCAGTGTGTGCAGGCAGCACAGACCAGGCAGCCCCAGGAGGAAAATTAATCCCACTCCCACTGATACAGGTTTGAAATTCAAACATAAAATAACTTAAATTTCAAAATTTACAATAATTTGTCTTTTTGTGAAATTATCCCTCTCCCTTCTGCGGAATAAACCCAAACCCCTAATGTGAGCAAAGGCTAAGAACCCCCAGAGTAACTGTATGTTCTATAAAAAGTGTCCTGGGCAAACTGCCCACAATGAAATCAACCCTGTTCATCTGCCATCCTGTGCAATATCTAGGCCAAAGCTGCCTCTCTCTTGCTACACTCCAGAACTATTTTTAAAGCCAAAAGCTATAAACGTTTTTGGTGAAAGAACAAACCCACAAATTACTCAATGTGCTCTATGCAGATTGGCCTCTGTGAGGCTTTGGGATAACATCCTACATCCTGCTACTACCCAGGACAAGGATACACAAGGTCACCTGAGCCCCTGTCACGCTCTCTGCTACATTACTGGCACATTTAATGCAGTAGCACCAAATTCATTCCTTTTTGTAGCAAACTTAATCACATCCTCTTCTTTAATACAAAAGACTTTTTTTTCTTCTTTAATTGCTTTGACAATACCGAGCTTTCTGTGATTTCCAAGTGATTATAAAAGTAGAAATACAATTTCTCCAACCAGCTGAGGAAAATCTAAGGCAAGCACAACCATCTGTCTTGATCCTTGGGACATTTCATTTGACCAGTGAAATATAATAAAGAATGAGGTAAAGGATTAAATTTAATATGTGACCATACAGAGCTATCAAATCTGAATGATCTTCTGTCAGTGCATCCCAGGATGAAAAGCAAACTACAATTCTCTTCACTTTTAAGGTCTTGAAAATAGCTCAAGTGGGAGGTAGGGTATTTGCATATTCAATTTTCAAAGCATAATGTATTTTACAATGAAAGTCAAAGGATCTTGTTGTTTAACGAACCAATTCCACCACTGTTCTATTATTAGCTAATTAACTTAGGACTATATAATACAAATTTCATCAAATGAACTACAAGTTGCTCACAGTGACAACTGAAATCTGTTCCTTTTATGAGGTGGATGCACAACTTCTGGCTTTTTAAACGAAACTTAACCTTTCACACAGCTTTTATTGCAGCAAACAAGGTAAAACAGATGTAAACAACAGTAGGAAAGTGATCATCTGTGTAGAAAATCAACCAGTAATTTGGCAAAATGTTCAAAAGACCTGATTTACTCCAAGGGCAGCAAAGATTAGCCCCTCAAAATCTCACTGACTGAAGGCTCCTTTAGATCTACAGCCAAGTTCTGAGCTGGAGCTCTTAGATTTGACTCTACTTAAATCAGCAGCTTGTAGGGATCTTCCAGCAAAATTAGGCTTCTTCAGCCTAAAAGCTGAGAGTCATTCCATAGGTTTCCAAAAAATAAAAGAAGTATAAAATACCAATGTTTTCATCTGTGTGAGCATTGCTCCTGAGGCTTTATACACCTCATGTGTACATGAGGAATCAATGCCACAAAACACTGCATTTTACTGTGGTGAAATTACTGTGGTGAAATTTTCAATAATTGGAATAGTTCACAGAGAAATAACATTGTTGGGCCACATCACTGTCAAATGAAGTAACCAAAGGAGCAGCAGCATTTTCCCACAGACCAAGGCAACTGCTCCCTGCGTCCAAACTCAGCAGGCTCATCCTGGAATTCCCATGGATCTGCCTGTGCAGTGAAGTTCCAGTCAAGGCATGGCCACCAGAAGCTTTTCCTTCTCAAGCAGTTGAACACAAGCAGTTATTTCAGCCTCGGAGATTAAATGACTGGATGAGAACCAAGTGCTGGCACTAAGGGAAGCAAACCAGCCTGGAGCCTGTGTCAGCCCAGTCAGAGCCCCTGGAGACACAAAAACCATCCAAGGGAAAGCAAGTAAATATTCTGCCTTTTAACTCGGCTATTTTTATGGGTGACTGTATAACAAGCATAACAAGCATGGAATGCAGATTATGGAACACAGTGAATGAAAACAGGACTTTGATTTCTCATATAACACAAGTATACAGCATCCCTGGGCAGATTTCCTGGATTATGCTCCATTTTTATTGGAAGAATCCAGCAATGCACCTACTTTATGCTTTTCCATTTATTAGGCTCTGGAAGATATTGGTATCACCAGATTCAGTCTCCCCACACTTAGTGAAGGAATTACCATAACAGTTCTAAATAAAAATCCAGTCAGGGACGTAGAAATGGCTTTTCCAGGGGCATCCAGAGCCTGGCAGGTTATCCCCCTCCAGGAAAGGACATCAGCCTGGTGACCTCTGTGGTCAGAACTAGGACCAGAGCCCAGCTCCCCTTTGCAGCCTTGGCTTTTCACTACAGGCTCCTCACCTCATCTCCATTAACCTCACATTTGCCCCAGGAGACATTTTCAC